TAATGTTTTCTTTTTTAGCGTTTGTACACTGAAGCATGGAACAAAGACAAGACCACGATTCATGTCATGCCTGACACCCCAGAAATCCTGCTGGCTAAACAAAACAGAGTGAACTACAGTGAGGTGAGTGCAACTGAAATCTGAGAAAATTAACTTGTACTTCTGACAAAGACACTTATTTAATCTTTGATTTTTTATTAATTTTAAAATATTGTCAGGTTGTTTATTTTCACAAATGGTCTGTTCCTATGCTGAAATCAGAGTTGTTCCAGAAATTGAACTCTTGGATATCTAATCGGGCTATTGAAATATATTATCCCCCATAAATTAGAAGTAATTTCTACAACAAGGTATGGAAATAACCAGTTTTGCTTTGCTTTTCCTCAATGATTCCCATTTTCCAAGCGTCTACAATAAAATTACAAGTTCTTTGAAATCCACAGGTTTTTATTTTCTACTGAATGTAGAGCTGCGCTGAAGATGTTTAGGTTGACTGAAAATCAACAGTATTGTTTAGGGGCTTGAATAGTTTTATTACTCAGATGTGCTTAACTGTTATGCTATTTTGTTTTTGAAACTCAAGTGTGAATTTTTTTCTCACAGAAAATGTACAAACTGGCCTTGGAGGAGTCGAAGAAGAAGGGTTATGATTTGCGTTTTGATGCCATTCCCATTCAGTCTGCCAAAGCCTCCAGGGAGATTGCCAGCGAGGTGAGCAGGCTTTGTTCTCATGTCCCTGTGGATCTGGTAATGGAAAAGAATCAGAATGTTTGTTACTGTCATGCTTCATAGAATAGATACTAATGAAATATATTTTCACAGTGATTCTTTGTAATGATTCCAATATGTTGCCTTTAGAGCATGGAAGAAAGGGGGAGGCAGTATTTTTATTGTGAGGAATATATCACTGTAATAAATAAATATAGTAATGTGAAGATTATTCATATGCCCCCTGCAATACCTATGTTGATGTCCATGGATATTCAAGCAGCATGATCAAAAAGGTGTATGAACCAATGATAGTTTGTCAAGTTAATTTCTGATTCAAACAATATTTCTGTTCAAGTGTCATAATGAAATTCAAGATGTCTGAACATAAAAACAGGGATAAACTATACAATGACTATGCTAACTTGTGCTTCTGGTAAGGAAGCATCACTTAGAGATGGATGATAACTGATTTTTATGCTCCTTGTTTACTCTCAAGTTGGGGATTTCAACTCTTTGTATTCAGAGCAAGTCATATGGTTTTAATAAAGGAGTTTTATAAAAGTTTGTGAAGTAATTTAATATTTACAATTTAATCTTAATAATAAAAGAATGTGAAGTACCAAACTAGTTAAAATGTGGCACTCAACATTTAGTAATTGAAAGCATGTTATATAAAAACTCTTCGGTAGCTATATCTAATAAAAAAGCTATTTATGTGAAAATTAATCCCAGAGTAGAAAGACTTACATCATATTTTTATCTTTACAAAATAATGAGTACGTTAAACTGTTAGAATTATTTATTAATTTGTCAATATACCAAGTAATTTAACTATCTTCTGTTTCAGTACAAGTACAAGGAAGGATATCGAAAGCAGCTGGGCCACCACATCGGGGCCAGGAACATCGAGGATGACCCCAAGATGATGTGGTCGATGCACGTGGCCAAGATCCAGAGTGACAGGGAGTACAAGAAGGACTTTGAGAA